AAATAAATAAATAAATAAATAAATAAATAAATAAATAAGTAAGTAAGTAAGTAAGTAAGTAAATAAATAAATAAATAAATAAATGAGGAAAAGAGCACTTTCGCCCAGTTAAAACAATCTCATCTTATTGGGCTTTCTTAAGTCATTCGAAAGTTTTAGTTTTTCAGTTTATTTCAATGCCAGCCTCAGTTGCACGATTGCTTTTGATAATTGCCATATATTGGGTTTCTCGACTAATTTGACTAATTAAAAAACAACAGCCACAGTAACATTCTGGAAGAGAAGTGCCAGTCTCCACAAATTAATTAATTTCTTCAGAACATATTCATTCCTTTCTTTTTCTTACAGGGCGAATTTAATGTAACAGCTCAGCTCTTCAACGAAGACCATCACACAATTATTTGTGCCAATTTTTATATCCACAATCACTGAGAAGTTGCTTTTTTGTTGCTTTTTGAACTGGCGTCGCCTAGACCCAAACTTTCCCAAACTTTTTTCTTTCAATACCCAAAACCGTTCATTAAAAAAAAATTATTGAACTTTAAGGACCAGCTGTAAGTCCCTTCCTTCAGCACCGTCGTAACTTTGAACAGTCACTGAAGGAATGGACATAACTTGAGGACCACCTGTATCACAAAAGTAGTATCATTAAATGAACTCATACTATTTCACGAGATTACCACTTGCAATTTCATCAATTTTTGCCTTAATGGGAATACTCTGGGAGATTTTTGAATATAGTACATGTTACCATCTTTAAGTCAGTTTAAATATCCCTTTTGTGATGAGTAATGGGGTTGTATATTATTACCGCCCATTTTTATCCAATTGTGGGTACAGGGTCCTGTAGCTCTTAACTTACAACCAGTTGCTTAGCAACCATTCACAATTATCACAGACCCCTCCCAAAAGGTACTTAGAAACCAGTTCCATTCCATCCTTCTCCCCAAGTCACATGATTGTATTCTGGACACTTAACAATCTTAACCAGGACACTTAACCCGTCCGCATGTGTGGCTGTTTACAGTCACATGACTGCAATTTATGTATTGCCAGGAACTGGCACTTACTTAAGAGCCGAGGTGGCGCAGTGGTTAAATGCAGCACTGCAGGCTACTTCAGTTGACTGCAGTTCTGCAGTTCGGCTGTTCAAATCTCACCGGCTCAGGGTTGACTGAGCCTTCCATCCTTCCGAGGTGGGTAAAATGAGGACCCGGATTGTTGTTGGGGGCAATATGCTGACTCTCTAAAATTGCTTAGAGAGGGGTGCAAAGAACTGTGAAGCAGTATATAAGTCTAAGTGCTATTTTTAGTGAGATTCGATGCCTCTCTATTGCAGTGACGTGCGGTGAGGTTTATGGCCGGTGAGGCAGCAATTTTTTTAGACTTGTGGACTTCAACTCCCAGAATTCCACAGCCAGGCATGCTCAGTTCCGGTTTAAAGCGACAGCATTTGTTTTTCTCCTTTGCTAAATAAGTTTCCTTCTTTCTTTTTCTTCTCCCTTCCCCTTCCCCTCCTCCCTCCCTCCCTCCCCCTACCGCCTCCTGTAGAGGGCACTTTTTTAGAGGCTTTTTTAAACAGTTAAGCACTAAGCAGAGTCATCCATGGTGACTCTGGCAGCAACTAGCTCAGCCTGACCTCAGCTCTTGCCTTTTTCCTTTTACATTTTTTTTTCTTTTCATGATGACAGTGGTGAGGCTCTGCCTCCCCTGACTGCACGTCTCTGCTCTATTGTCTCCCTAGGCTGGAGAAAATGAATGGGAGGGAGGCAACAGGCTCACAACCTTTTCTTTGGCTTCCCAAAGACATCTGATCGACCCCTGGGGAAGTTAGACTAGGTTGCACATAGATTAGAAAACTAATGAGTCTGTGAAAGAAAACTGGAATATAATATGGGAAAACTAACCTGGAAGCAAGAGAAGTTAAAATACCAGTAATTTGCCAATGAATATCAGGAAACATAAGTGGGGTTAAATGCTGTTTCCTCCTCCCAGTTCTCCCCTAAAATGCACTAAATCGTATTATTTTAACAAACGTGGGTGTGCGAACACACACTTGCCAAGGTGACATGTAGTTTCGTCCTGATTTAGATCTCACTTAACAATGACTGTATCAGTCTAAAATAGACGTATAATAATATCAAACACAGCTAGGTCTTAGCAACTTAACAGATCTCAAGGGGGGGAACAATATCCTTGGGTGACACATAAGCTCTTGGGAGGAATGGAAACACTTTTACAGGAAGGAGATCTATGAACATCTACCTCCGTTTTCCTAAAAACATGGAATCGGAATCTGGAGAGGGTACTGAATGCTCAGGTGTCTTCTCCAAAGTTTTCTTGGCTCTGGAAGTTTTGGAGTTAAATTTTATCATCTTTGATGCCATTGTTAAAGGTACTACTGAATTTTACAGCATTCTTTGAGACATTTATTCTGTTCTTTTTTGACATTTTTTGAATAGGACAGTGGAGAAATTGAAGGTCATCAGCTCTATAAGAGGGAGCAGACTAAGAACCCTCTGCCTTATACATAGGTCAAGGCTTCAGTATCTTTATAGTAACAGCTATAGTAACAGAATCCTGCTAGTCTGAATATCTTTCTTCCTCCTGACATTTAATCTTCATGTGTGAACAAGGGAGGGCCTTGCCTGAGATGTTTTCTCGTGTTATTTTCAAGCCTGCTTTATCTGATTGTTGCCTTAGTAGCAACTCTTCCTTCTGTCCTTCTAGGTCATTCCGATATATCTTCTCTAATAATGGATGAACATAATCTTTTAAATACCTTTCCTGGTGGAAATTCTCGGAGTTATGGTCTGAACACAAAAGTAGGAGAATTTTATATGCATGCTACAATAGAAATTAAAAGTTGAGGAAGATTGGGTCTCCTTCAAATTTCCAGTAAATAGGGCATTGATTCACTACTCTCAATGACCAATCAGATAACCTCTAGGATGAATCCTATAATATAAATATAATACTATAACTATATACATACATATGAACCAGAGGTGGGTTCCTGCCAGTTCTAACCACTTCTATAGAAGAGGTTCCACAAATCTACAGTGCCATTTTAGAACCGGTTCCAGCTCCCTCCCCCTGCCCGTCTACACATCACCAAGATGAAGAGCGAGAGGAGGAATTCTGGGAGTTGAAGTCCACAAGTCTTAAAGCTGTCAAGTTTGAACACCCCTGGGGGCTTTTTTCTAAAGGGTTAGGAGTGCAAGGGTCTTGTAACTTGACAGCTTTAAGACTTGTGGNGGCACGTTAGCTATTCTTTTACTGATAGAAATGAAAAGTAAATTATCTTTGGGGCTGATTTTCAGAACTGTGATCCACTACTGTACCTGCAACCAAGTTAGAGACATTTAATAATGTGAGAAGTTTGGCGAATTCAGATTTTCATATTAATTTATTAAATGTGTTCTTCCTGGATCATTATGGACTGTGAAATTTAGATATGGAAGTTTAGTATTTAAAGTAATCAGAATTCTGCAGTTCAGTTATCTAAATAAAAATACATTTTTGGGATTGCATTTATTTGTAATATAGGAAGTATATGTACACACACACACACACACACACACACACACACACACACAGAGGAGGGATGGAGGGATGGAGAGACGGAGGGACAGACGGCGCATAAGTATGTACTAAAGTGAGTTGAATGTTTGATTACATTGAAAACTGATGTAGAAGTCAGATACAGAAAACTAAGTATTGGAAAAATGAAAAACTACCCAATCAGATTTGACAATGTTAGAACTAGCAAGAAGCATTGTTTGTGAGTAAAAGAGTAGCTTCTTTATTCTAAACTATCCAGTGTTTTTCTCCACTATTTTGCTGAAGGAAATTTCTTTTCTCTATAAGTGATGATTACAAGTTCACATAATCCTATGATTAGCTGCCTGTTTCTCTTTGAAAAAAGAGCAGTGTTCATTAGTTACTAAGATAATAAAACATGGATTTAGACATAATTTATTAAAAGCTTTTTTATTGTATCCTGCAACCTTGGTTATAAGCCCTGGAAGTCTAGCACCAAGAATATCAGAAATGCAATCTTATGTATGTGTCCCACAAATCTCACTAGATCCTTTGTCTCAACTACACAAGTGGGCATGAAAAAGATTTTGCACCATAATCATCACCGTATTTTAAAATATACACAAATCCACTGTACCTAAAGCTTATTTCATAATACTATTTTTCCTTATATAATTAAAGTTTTTAATTAATATAGCTAGAAAAACAGAACCAAAATAACTCGCAGATATTTCAAGCTTGACATTTTAGAAGCTGAACAAAAAAAGATTTCTCTTTTCATCCAGTGTGTTAACAAAATTGAGGTCTGTCTGAACTGTATGTTTGAATATTCATTTTTTCCAATTGCTGCTTTAGGAAAATTGTTTTGAAGACTTATTTATCCACATGCTGGCTTGTTATCAGGCATAGCTGTGGCTGCTCTAGTAATGCCTGACTTAATCATGCCCAGAATGGCAATTAAATTTTGACTTGCCAATTGCCCAAGCATTTACCTCCCTCTTTTGTGAGATTAGTTATTTGTTTCAAATTGCTAACAAGCTGCCACAGGATAAGGAAATTAAAATATATATAATAGTTCCCTAGTTTATATATTTATTATTTGTAGCATGTAATGCTGAATGGATTTGATGCACCTTAAACTGTAGAGCTTAGATCTGTTTAGAGAAAAGTGAAACTGGGACTAAAGAAATTGTGAAAGGCACTATAAGAAAAAGAGGCGCATGGCTGCTTAACAGAAACATAATGTTGAATCTGGGGCAGAAATCAGATGAACTGGACAAGTTTCCTACATATTTGACCCAGTATGCCAGATTTTGATAACAGATATGTTCCAATAACACATCCCTAAGCAGTGGTGGGTTTCAAAAATAGTTCGAACCTACTCTGTGGGTGTGNAAGAAAATATCCTGAAGATAATTGAGAAATAACAGAACCCCCAAGGATTCACTTTGCCTTTTCTGAAAAGTATCCAATGTTTATCTGTTTTTGAAAACTCAGGGAGATAAATATGAACTCTTTGCTTCCTTATCGCAGTCTCGCTGGAAATTGTGGCTCTTTTTCTCATTTGTGTTCCTTATTCTTATCTTTCTGTTTGATAGTTTATATTTGGGGAGAATTAATATCATGTGTTTCTCTTCTCTGCTGTCAGCCAAAAATGGTAACAAGAAAGGTGAGAAAAACAAGAAGATCAATGAAAGAACACCAGATGGCGACTATGAAAGGCGAAACACTGATGAAGACAGCAGAGAAAGTAAGCGACAATGATTGCATATTTGTTTCCACCTCTTTTTTGGGTGAACTCTTTCTTGCGACACATTTTAATGACGTGGGAAGCAATCCTAAAAAAAAATATTATGGCATATGAAGGTGATTCATTACAGTGGTTCCTTTATAAATAAGAACATATCAAACTTCTTCGGGAAGTACATTAAGGTTAAAGCACATTAAGGTTAAAATAGATCAATGTGGGAAAAGATAACTTCTCCCACATTTATCCCAAATTTATTTAAATGTGTGAAGATAACAAGCAAAGGACTTTGAGTGTTTAACTCTAGATTTATATACTGATTAAATTTCAAGGGAATAAATCAGAATAAGACAGATCTGAAAGCCAGAAGAAAAGGAGTCAAAATACAAGGCTTAACAAATGATTTGGCAATTATTTTTTTAATGTAGACACAGACCAGGCTTCTTTAACTTGGCAACATAGCTTTTCAAGCTTCTATAGAATGCCAAAAGTAGGAATGATAAGCAGGAGGAGGAAGGGGTGTAATATTGCAACTGACAGCTCTAGCTTTTAATTACAGTGTCTGCTTTTAGAGGATTCCCCAATTATAGTGATCTGCGTTGAAGAATGTTGACTGTTAAAGTAATATATTATGTATCTACNCTCTGGAGGCTTTCCTTGAGCCTCTGGGAAGGTGAAAACTGCCTCCCCCAGGCTCTGGAGGCCTTCTGGGAGGCTTGTTTTTCCCCCTCCCTGAGCCTCCACACAGGTCCTGCACTTACCTCACATTCAAAATGGGCCACGTGGAGACTCCTGGCAGGGGCAGGGGGGGCGGGGCCAGCCAGGGGTGGAATTTGTAGGTTCTCTGAACAGGCCATAACATTAGCTATGGGTTCTCCCAACCCAGAAAAATCCACAGCAGCCCACCCCAGGTCTTTGCAACCATTATAAATACACCCTATTCTGCATTTAGATCACGTGACCATGGGGATGCTGCGATGGTTGTGTGAAAACTCAGACAGGCCTTCCAGAGAAGTTGACTATCTATTTCTTTCTAAGATGGAACGGTGTGATCTTCCCAAACTGCATTTGGGAAGATATGATCAAGCCATCTAAATCAGTGATTGGTCTAGCATTGGTCTTAGAATATTTCTCAGCAAAGGCAATGCAGGTGGGAAAAATCTGGGTACTCAAGTGCCCATACTTGCAAAAGGTTGTATCAAAAACAGAAGACCATGTTATGGGAAGTAGGGGGCGAGCTTTCTTACAAAACACACACATTGCAGAAAATTGCGCATAAGGCAAACACCTATTTCCATCTGGGTGTGGAGGCTTTAAATGTGCAGACCGAGGTTGAATTTTTGGAATGAATTAATGACTGTACACAAAGAATGCTGACATAGTCAGGATGAGGGGTGATCTTTGCATCTCTATCACAAGCTCTGTTTGCAAGTGCATATAATCTAATCTTCCCTTGAATCTCCTCTCGTGCTTAATTTGTGGCCCTAGATGACAAGATGATGCCCTATGTTGCTGGGACCATTGAAATGCAAAGAAAAAAGAGAATTTCTCAAAGGTGAATATGCCTTCCCCCACTTCTTCTTTCCCTCCATCTCTTGGCAAACAGTCAGCCTCAATCTACCAGCTCCGTTCAACTCATTCTTCACAGCCTCTCTGGCACTAATGAATATGCCCATTATTCAAATGGACACCACATTGGACCTAATAAGTGGCCCATTCTAATTTATCTCCTTTTCATTAATGTTTTCCTGAGCTGTCTGTACTTTCCACTGTTTGCTTCTCTCTCTTATTACCCAACTAATTTTTTTAAAAAAATTCTGAAATATAGGTGGCCTCCTGAGTTGGTTATCCAACATCAAAGCGAGGCTCAAGGGCCAGGCAAGGTTCTCTCCTGACTATGTCACCAAGATAATTAATTTATCAAATAATACTGAATGCATCTGAGGACAAGGCAGGTGAATAGGGGAGGTGGGTCAATTTGAAATGGAAGGCATCAAAGCTGGCAATGGGTACCCCTTACCATTGTGTTGCTTGTTAATGCGGCCTGCAAGGTTGTTCAAATTATACACCAGCTGCAAATGAACGAGCTTTGCAACTCTTAGCAGGGCTGTGATAGCTGATTGACTTTTCCCCCCTCCCCTCCTTTGGGTTATGAAATAGCAAAGGATTACCAGATGATTATTACATGTTAGGTAGAGACTTACATGCCGGTTCATTTTCCTTTCCAACTATAAATGCCCTGTATTTTATTAACATAATAATTTGGAGCTTTCCAAACTAACATGTTTTCAGAGGCTTGGTAAAGTGTTTCTTCTCCCCAGCCCTTCCCTTACAAGCTATTGATCATGAGGTAAAAATGTAAACTTAGCCAGAAGCAAGAATATAGAGTGGATCGTTTGCCTCTAAACGAGGGGGGAGGGATACTTACATCTAATAAATAAATAGATAAATCCTTAAAACAATTGAAAAAGCATGACATATAATAAAGACAGAGGTGGTATTCAGCCAGTTGGGGCCAGTTCAGGCAAACCAGTACCTCCGATGATCAGATGACCCCGCCCATCCACCCGATCCTGTGCTTTATTTCTTGCTTTCTAGCTCATCTCAACCATGCAGCACATCTGATTCCCCCCACCCCCGCTGTTCTACTTGCCATTGCTGACTTGGAAGGTAAGTAGCTGAGTTTCTAAATGCTCCATTTTCAGTGGTGTGTGCAAGTGCTTTAGGCGTGTGCATGCGCAAAGCACATGCTCACCGAACCGATTATTAAACCAGCAGCATCCCACCATTAAAGACATATGCATGTAAATAACTTCTAGACAGCAAATAAACAAATACAAGATTGTCAAGTGCAAGAAGTCAGGAGCCAGGATAGAGTTAAAAAAATACAACACATTTATCTCATGCTACATAAGGAAGACTGGACGCTGAAGAATTGAAGCTTTTGATTTGTGATGTTGGAGAAGATCTCTTGGACTGCACGAAGTTCAAATCAGTCAACCTGAAAGGAAATCAACCCCGACTGTTCTCTGGAAGGACAGATACTGAAGCTGAAGCTGAAATACTTTGGCCACCTAATGAGAAGAGAGGACTCATTGGAGAAGACTCTGATGTTGGGAAAGATGGAAGGCAAAAGGAGAAGGAGACAGCAGAGAATGAGATGGTTAGATAGTGTCATTGACGCAATGAATAGCAATAACTCTTTGATTTATATACCTCTCCACAGTGCTTCACTACACTCTCTGAGTAGTTTACTGAGTCAGCATATTGCCTCCAACAGTCTGGATCCTCATTTTATCAACCTCAGAAAGAGGGAAGGCTGANATCCGGTCACATGGGTGGCAAGCCACTCCCACAAAGGAGGCCACACCCACGGAGTAGGTTCGAACAATTTTTGAAACCCACCACTATTTTGCTTCTTTTCTCAAACTATTCTGAAAAATTTCTAAAGCGAAGGAGCAGCTTATTTGACATGTTAACTTCTGCGCTTTGCTGAATAGCTTCTAAAGCGCATGCTGTTCTTATGTTCCTTCAAATCTCTTGCCCTACTTCCTTCTGTGTAATGGCGGGTCACTGATTCATTCCCACACAGAGGTTTGAAAAGAGTTCAAGAAATCATGTTTTGTGCTCTCCCTGTCACTTGTCATAATTACTCTTGCAGAATAGTGAGTTGCAAACCAAGCGCAATGTAAATTGCACATTCTAAAAAAGATATTCGTTTTTACTATGTTTATTCTGTGTGATGCAGAGAGATCATTTCTCCATTTTCATCCATCTGCTTCATCTTGTATAATTATGAAATATTTGGGACACACCCAAAAAACAAAAATTAAAGACAAATTGATGGAGTCTTCCATTCTGCCCAGATTACAATACAGTATGTTACCTCTTTTAAAAATTTCTTCTCTATTTCTCTCTATCTAGAGATGACCTGATATCCCCCTGCTCTTTCTCTGTTTCTCTTCTCCAGTTTTATAATATGTTGTTTATAAAATTCTGTTTATATTCACAAAGTCTGTTCAATATTCTACCCTTTCTAATCCATTAACCACTTATGCAAAAATGGGAACTCTTCATTAGCAGAATATTTGACACTTGCACACCATGTTTATGTAAATATAATTATGCAAATTCTTGCAAATGAGAGATTATTCAAATGAATGATTCAGTTGGGTTCAGGTGCTATAAATCAGTGGTTTTAAACCTGTGGGTTGGGACCCCTTGCAGGGGGGGGTGTCGAATGACCCTTTCACAGGGGTCGCTTAAGACCATCGGAAAACACATATTTTCAATGGTCTTAGGAACTGAGACACCAATTTTATGGTTGGGAGCAGTGGTGGGTTTCAAAAATTGTTCGAACCTACTCTGTGGGTGTGGCCCCCTTTGTGGGAGTGGCTTGCCGCCCATGTGACCGGATGGGAGTGGCTTGCCCCCCATGTGACCGGATG